CCTGTGGAGGGCGGCGCGGCCGGCGGTGGGGTGTGCTGGCCAGCCGTGATGGTACCACGGGCTACTTGGCTCGAGCCACGGAGAAGGGGTCGCCACAGTTTGGGACTGAAGTCTGAGCTTGGCGTGGCAGGTTTGGTTCCTAGGGCCTCCGTGGTCTCCGTGTGTGCCTGTGTCCTCACCTCCTCGTATGACCTCACTGCAGAGACCCTGTGTCGAGTCTGCACTGAGCCCTCAGGTCTGTGCCCGCGAGCGCAGTCCCGTCCATGGCAGCCGCCAAGGGCAGGAGGAGCGTGGAAAGGCAGGAGGGGGCCGGCCCGGGCACTGGGGAGGGCAGCTGGGTTCACACGGCCTGCCGTGTTTGAATCTCGGATTCGGCGGCTTGGGAAACGTGTGTGCGCTCGAAATCCCACAAGGAGGGAGAAGCAGAGGCCGGGCTGTGTTGTGGCCGTTCCGGGGGCGGGGTGTCTCTAGCAAGCACACGCACCCTCTGGCAAACTGAGAAACAAAAAGGGGCGAGAAGGCAGCAGTGTACTCGGGAGGACATGCCGGGATGGCTCCTGGCTCCACGTCCACCTCGCATCCTGTCCATCCCTGTCCTTCCTGCACCCCGTTTTCCGGTGGCGGGTGGGGCGTGTTAGTCTCCTGCTCGGCAGCCTGAGGGCACCGTGTACCCTAAGGCCCTAGAAGTCAGGAGCAAGCTCAGCGGCCATGTTTCTCCATGGGGTCCCAGGGCAGTGTCCACTTCCTCCTCCTTCCAGCTTCCAGAGGAGACCGCCTGGGTCTTTAAAGGCCCTGCCTCACGTCTCTCTGACCCTGCCCTTTTGCTTCCCTGCTCCACTTCTTAAGCTTGTTTCTTCCATTTGAGAGAGAGCTGGGTAACAGGCACCCCCAGTGGGGTCCTCCTGCCGGAACCTCGCCCCAGTCTCAGCCTACCCACGTGGGCATGTCCATGTGCCCGGCGTGTCCAGAGGGGCCCTGGATGAACCCAGGGCCTCCCATGTGCCACCACCGAGACTCCCTGTTTTCTATTGTTAGGAGTTATTTCATTAATATATTTTAAATATCTACTAGAGGGCATGTGTGTCCACCAGAGACAGACGGAGGGTGGAGACGGGTGAGAGTCCAAGGGCCCTCGTGTTCGTGTCAGGCCTGCATAATCCAGGATCCTCTCCCGTTGCAAGTCTTTCTATTTTTTCTTAGTGGATTTTGCTATAGGGTATGTGTGCTTACCGAAGAGATAGAGACGGAAAGTGAGAAATCACCCCCCAGGGAGAATGACCACGCCAATCCCGTCTCCTCCATTCTCCTCTTGGGATCTTGGGCACGCACGCACACATGCCTGGTGTGAGTTTTAGGCCGCTGGGTCCAGGACTTGAACCACGGTTGACTATATGGGAGTCCAGCAACGTAATCACTACGCCATCTGCTGGTCCCCTCGTGGCGAGGTTTTAGCCTCATCTGCAGAGCCCCTTTGGCGGTGTCAGGCCCGTGTCCGGCCCCCTGGGGGCATGCTGCCGTGCCAGTGCAGAGCTGGTCTCGAGGGCTCGCTGACGGCCAGTCTGTCCTAATGGCCCACAGCTTGCTGCACTGCGAGTGCTCATGGGACGAGGACCGGCAGCACCTCCCTCCCCTGTGCCCGCAGCTCTGCCAGCTCTGGGTGGTTGGCGCCAACGTCAGGCTCAGGTTCCCACTGGGCCCTGGCATGACCACAAGTTCATGCTGTCGCCTCCCCTCTGAGCCTCCAACACCCCTCCGTGAATGGCCACCGCAGGGCCCAGACAGCTGCATGCAGGGGCCTAAGGCCCACGGGGAGCCCGACGTGCCCGTCTTGCCCACAGGTGTGGCCGGTGGCCTGACCACCCTGTCCAAGATGCCCGCCTGCAACATCATGCTGCTGGGGGCCCAGCGCAGGACGCTGTCGGGCTTCTCGTCCACCTCGGTGCTGCCCCACACTGGCTACGTGTACCACAGTGACATTGTGCAGTCGCTGCCCCCGGTGAGCCTGGGGTGGGAGGTGGGGCACTCGGGGCACACAGGCGAGCGCGGGCCAGCAGTGGATGGGGGGGCGGCTGCTCGGCGCCTGCGGCTCCCGTGCTGCTCTCAGCGCTGTTTAGCCAGGACCGCAGTCCTCACCGCAGGCCCTGGCAGGCGGGTTCCACTCCTGCCAGCCCAGGAGCCGCACCGCCTGCCCATAGGCCCTCACCAGGGCCCTTCCTCTGTCAGCTGGCCACGGGGAGGTCAGGTGTGGCTGTCGTTTTCCACGGCACCTGAGCACTGGAGCTGCGGCCGGGCAGCTAGGGTCAGAGCCCCGGCACTCACGGACTGGCTCTGTCTCACTGGCCACGTGCCTCGGCGCCTCGGTTTGCACATCTGAAAGTGGGGGCAGTGAGCGCTCAGCCTGACGGTGGCCGTGCTGGTACCAGCCTGGCGTCTGAATGTGTGGTGAGCTCCGTCAGGGCGGGCTCTGCAGGGCCGCGTCTAGGGTGCACACCCGGAGCGCCCCACCCCGTGGGCTCGGGATTGTAGCTGGGCTTTGTTTGAAAATCTCACGAGCGTCCTCACCTGGGCTCTGCCGCCTCGTCCCAGGAGGCAGCGCCCTCCCAGCCTCACCCTGCCTCTGACAGGGTGGGCCTGCAGCTCAGGAGCCCGCGGGGAGCAGGTGAGCCGCGAGTGTGAGCCCTGGCCTGGCTCCTCGCTAAGCGGCCGCCGTCGAGCGGCCCTCGTCTGTGTCCCTCCGTCTGGCTCACACGCTGCCTCCTCCTCTTTGCTCCAGGATCTCCGGCGGAAAGCGGCCCGGCTGGTGGCCGCCAAGTGCACGCTGGCGGCCCGCGTGGACAGTTTCCACGAGAGCACGGAGGGGAAGGTGAGGCTGGGCGGGCATCTATCCGGGGACCTGACGTGGGTGGGTGCCGTCCCCACCAGGCAGAGGCAGCCCGCCCGCCCCCCCCACCCGGGGGG